CTGGTTTACTACTGCCTTAATTTTGTTACTACTTACAGTTTCACTCCTGCTCTGATCGCTTTTACTGCTCTTGGCTGCCGGCTTGATGCATCTCTAATACTAGATCTAACGGTGGAAATACTATTTGCATCATCGAACTTACGAAATTGCACTAAACTAAATTAACCTTCAGATACAAAGTTGCAGCAAGGTATAAGGACAACTTCGTTATTGAGGTCAGTGAGCTCGAAATACGGAGTAATTTTAAAGTATGTGCAAATATGTCGAAGTACAATGAAGCAACGACCACCAAGATTTCAATGCTATTTTATTCACAATCACGCTCTTTAAAAAACAGAAAGCCAACAAACATTTTTTTAAATTTTGAAAAACAGAACCTACTGACAATTTGGGTTGGGAAGTGGTCACTTTTTTATCAATTTTTAGGTTGAGAAATGGCCACTTCCCAACTTGAACTGTATATTTCACATCAATTGTTAAATAAAGTTGAAATGTCATACTTTCCAACTTTATGATAGTGAATGAAATTAATTAAATTATGCTAAAATTTTGAAACGGGTTGTGTGAACTGCATTCATATTTGTGTTTTCTTTCGGCAATTTTGTATTTGCTGGTAACGTAGGCCAAAGGCAACATTAATATTTAGTTTCGTATTGGTAATTGTAATTGGGATTCTAAATACTTATTAATGAGCCTGCTTTGGGTACTGAGACCACTAAATTATTACCACTAAATTGTGATGCATTAATGATCATTTACATTTACCTACACCAAATTGAACTTTGGGGAATGTTAGTTTTGATTGTAGAATACTCAATTGTCATGTATTTGGACCATTATTTGTATAGATTATTTTCTGAGTTTGCGTTATTAAAAATTCATAAAGAACGATTTTATTCCAAAGCCAGTTATTCATTGTTGATTGAACATTTAATTAAACGCGACATCAGCCATTTGACGGTTTGTATTTTTTTATGAAGAAAAATCAAAGAGACAAAATTCATAAAACAACAGAGCATATTAATTGTTGATGAAAGCTTTTGTCGCAGGCTGCGTTTTATTTTGTACACACGAAAGGACGCATCTGGTTAAAAGCAATTATACCATCGGTTGGATATTATTAATGCCTTCAGGGGCATAAATCCCAGTCCTGTAAGCAAATTTCATGCAAAACACATACGTTGATTTTGAATAAACACGATGTTATTAGCGCTGTTTATAAATTTTTGCACAAAATTATTCACTCATATAAGAGAATATCGATTGTGTACCAATATGGCACAGTTGTAATTAGCAAAATTTAATTAGTTCGTTTACTTAAAGCAACTCAAATAAATTAAATAATTAACTTCCTTAAAATGTTATGCAAAAATTTTAAAATAGTTTTGGTTAAAATTACAATTTTCCGCAACTATAGAAAAGTTTGAAGTGATGTCATAAGTTCTTATTGGTAAGTAAACTTTGTTAAAGTTTTGTAACAATATTTAAATAAATACAGAGCTATTCTTGTTTTGCAAATTTTTATTGTAGGTGAAATAATATTGTGCAACTGCATCCAAATTAATGCATTAGTTTCAAAGCTTCCCTTTGCAATTTGCATTTATAACGGATTTTACAAAATTGTTTTTGCTGCATTTGAATTAAATTTAATATTAAATGATAGAACAAGCTTTACGAATGAATGGCAGATAAGTCGTTGAGAGTTACTTTTCTATTATGAGAGAACATTTGAATGAACTGTGTTTGCTAAAAAGTTAGAATAAAATACAGATAACAGCAAAATTGATCATATAATACGGAGATGGCAGATGAAAGAGAAGGCAGAAATATGATCCAGGAATACTTATCCCGGAGAAAGATCTCGATTGAAAAAGATATTCGCATATAAAATATTGCCAGTATACAATCGGAAATTGTTTTCCTTCCGAAAAAACTGATCTCTACACAACTTCTAATACATCCGACGATTTTTCCGAGAATAATAAATAATGAAATGTCTAAAGGAAGACACGCGTTCTGATCTGAATCAACGTTAAATGCACGAATAAATTTACTTTTCCGATCAATCAGAATTTGAATTCCTGGGTAATTACGTAATATTGGAAATTGAATTTCTCTTTCACAGTTGCGCTACTCATTACAGAGACCGAATAATTCGAAACTCTTTAATTTACTACTAGCTTGTTTACAAACAATAGAGAATTGAAAAAACCTTTTTCAGATTTACGATAATTACACGAAAATCCGTCCCAAACGGCTTAAAGCTCGACTAGATTAAACGTCAAGGTGTAATTTATCAAGCCGACATGTCACCGAATCTATCAAACAAACAGACGGTGCTTTCATGGCGCTTAAAGAGAGTCGCGGTTATTATAAGAAAGTTAAATAGGTCCCAGTCATCTCTCTTAATACACCAGAAAAATACCCGCTCGCAAATAATCGCAAATAAAGTATTTTTAATAATGACGAAGGGCGGAATTATATAGCAATTACTCGCTTTCGTGTTCTAAAACCACTCGTTAATATAAAGTTTCTTTGAAATTAGGGTAGAGAGAACAAAAGAGTTAATATAAACATGAACTTTAGGTCATTTCCCAAAGGCGTTGCAAGTGCTTTACAAGTTATGCATGGGTTGATCTCATCATGTTCGCTAGATTTGAGGTTTTCTTTAAAATTAAAAGAAAAAACTGCTACACCTAGTTACAAACCTTGCGGTGGATGGAAAATTCTAGACAAAACAAAAAGAAAACTTGCCAGAAATTAGTTTATAATTTGGGTTTAATAAACCCGCCTCAAATAATGCCAGGATTTAAGATTCAATAAAAATGTAACTTTTAGACAATAAAGTGATACAGGCATAATTACTGTTACTATTTTTTCCTAATTCTAACAAAACAATATTTTTTAAAATAACTAAATATTTTTAAATATATTTCTTTAGTAAATACAAACGTATTTTTATATATATGATTCAAAACAATATAGTAAAAACAAATCAAACATG